TTTGTCACAGCCCCTCGTTTGTTGTCCTCTTCTCCCTCTCTGCCTACGGTTTACCGGGCAGTTCTATTTGATGATATATATATATATGAGTCCGTGAAACACCCACGAAACAGTTTGTCACAGCCCCTCGTTTGTTGTCCTCTTCTCCCTCTCTGCCTACGGTTTACCGGGAAGCTCTGTTTGACTATATATATCTATGTGTGTGTGTGTGTGTGTGTGTGTGTGTGTGTGTGTGTGTGTGTGTGTGCAAGTGTGCCGCTCCGACGGCAGACGGGTGTGTGGGCATTCGGCGCTTAACCACATGTATGTGGCCAAACTTGCATCTTCTACTAGATTGACTATCTATACCTTTTTCATTTTATGGATTGTTTGATGATTTGCGGATGGAATGAGAGAGAGAGAGTTTGGGGTTCCTTGAGAACACACACAAATATACTAACCTTCTTTTATCCCTTCTTTCTAAGTGTTTTCTTTGTCTTGTCCACTTTGCATTTGCGATAGCCTATTCCTGTGTTCTCCTGTGTTGAACTGCAGCACTTTCGAGATGTGCCAAACATTCAGGACCTGTTTGCCAGAAGTACCTGTGTTGGGGATGCGTGTGTGTCTCTGGTGGTGACAGACTTCCCACATATTGACTCCCTGACTCTTGATGGTGTAGCAAGTGATAGCCCACTCTGCTCTGTGCTGTACTCATGTTCTGACGGTGCTGCCATGCTGCCTGCTTCTCTTGTTATTAGCCAGGCCTGCTTGGCTAGTCCTTGCTGCCTGCCTGGATGTTGGCCTTGCGCCTTGCTACCTTGCTGACTGCCGATCTGCTTGCCTTTGCCTTGTTCACGTTGGTACTGTGCCCATGCTGCTTGCCTGCGTGTTTGGCTGCACCCTTTTTATGCTTTGCTCCTTGAGTGCTTCCCTGGCTGCCTGCCTGCTTTATGCCTTGGTGCTCAACTTGTTGCTTCTCTTTTTTTTTCTTTTTTTTCTTTTTTTTCTTTTTTTTCTTGTTGCTGACCTGCTTGATGCTCAATTTAACATTCAGGTGAGTGGCGGTGGCTACTGCCCACTCACAAGTGGGGTTTGAGGCAGCTAATACCTCAAAGAATCCACATGGGATATTGCAGACCATTAGTGAATGCAAGGGGCATTTCAAGGGTTGTGTGGAAGGAGAAAAGTGAGTAGGGCAAACAATATTTTTTGGGGGGAAATTTGTGTTGTACCCCTGAAGTTGTTTTTTCAAATTTGTGTTACACCCCTGGAAACACGGACTTACCCTGACATGCCCCTCTGACAGTTGAACTG